GCTGCATTTGCTAACAAAACAAAAACACATTCAAATTCATCTTTCTCAGCAATATTTGAAGCATTTTAGAAATGATAAAAATTGATTTTGTTCGTTGTTTCATCACTATGAATGAGACTTGGGTCTACCACCATGATCCTGAATCAAAACAAGAGGCTAAGGAGTGGTGTGAACCTGGTAATTTGGCTCTGAAGTGAGTTAGGGTAAAGAAATTGGCCAAGAAGGTGTTAGCATCCGTTTTTTGGCTGCAAAAAGAATTTTGTTTGTGGATTACTTCCAAACTGGTAAAACAATAAACTCAGATTATTATTATTGTAATTTTTTGGACCAGCTGGATGTAAAAATTTGTGAGAAAAAAATCTGGTTTATAGAAGAAGAAAACCATTTTTCATCAGGACAATGCACCTTCTCACATAGCTCAAAAAACCATTGCGAAAATCAGTGAATTAAAGTACAAATTGTTGCAACATCCACCCTATTTGCAAGATTTAGCTCCCTCTGACTTCTGGTTGTTCTCACATCTCAAAAAATTAATGCGTTGGAAACAATTTTCATCGAACAAAGAGGTAATAGCAGTTGTGGAAGCGTATTTCGACAGTCTTCCGGATTCTCACCTCGGATGGAATCCATAAATTAGATCATCACTGGAACAAGTGTATTGAAGTTCAGGGAGATTATATTGAATAATAAAATGTATTTCAAACCATAAAATCATGTTTTTCTTATTGAACGACAAAACGTATTGAACAACCTGGTATGGCTACTTCAAAATTTGTATACCGTGATGTGTTTAAGTTAACTTGTTCATTTAGATCAGAAATGTCCAACCCGTGATCCACTTAATATTTTTATGTGGCCCACTGCACCCTAAATTTTTTAGGTACATTTTTATTTATTTTGGTAAAGTATGTTCTAGAAATTATTCCCATTTCACTGGATACACTTTTGTCATAATGTCGTAATTGCTACTAGAAAACTGTTATGCATGTGTGGTTGTACATACTGTTGCGAACGATTCTTTTTGTGCATGAAAAATATCAAAGCTGCTGAAAGAAATAGGTTGAGTGATTTCCCATTTAACTAACATTCTTACAATTAAGACTAGTATCATAAAAGCAGATGTTGACAATATTACAAAAAGAAGGCAATGACAAAAATCTCATTGAATTTATTTTTATTTTGTGTGAGTACAATTTCTTTACTGTCAATAAATAACACAGTATTTTTGTAATTATATATATTTGTTATTAAAATTTGATGATTACATTTTGAACTTTACAAAAAAAAGAAAAAACATTTATATAAAGTACCTTTGTGGCCTGCTGAATATATGTAAATTTCTAATTTGGCCCATTAGGAAAAAAGGTTGGACAACCCTGTTTTAGAGCAAAGTGCCTTCAAACTATAAGAGAACAATAAACCAAAAACAACTCTGATCTGGTTAATACAGCTTTGCTTTTACAATAATACATTTTCGGCTGTCACCTTACATATGAATATCTCTTTTCCTATCTTTTCTCATAATATATGGCTTGGTTTTGGGATTGCAAGATTGGGCTACAAGTAGAAAATTGAGATATTTGTAGAGCTCTAGGCAGAGCACCTGCTAGAGTTTATTCTGCCTGGGAAAGACATGCATTTGACAACGCTTATCTCCCTGTATAAATTCAAAAAAATTTTGTTTTGAAATGCCATACCTTGCTCTGTCAATCAGTATTTAACTTGCACTGTGTTATATAAATAAAAACTTTAAAATATTTAAAAAAAACACTATGCCTGAGAAGTTTGTGTAAATTTATGAAAATTTCCCACCATGGGCAAATGCCCTATTTGCCCATATGGTAGTGCCAGTCCTGGCTCTAGGCTACTGCTTTTTGGGCCACTTTAAAAAATAATTTGGACTATATTTCTGCTTTACTTTTTATAAAACCTATCTGGAAACCTGTGCAGTTCTCATTATACATGTGCTGTTTACCTGCAATTTATTTCTGGATTTAAATTATTTCTTACAATGGGAGAACAATTTGGTTATATACAGTAATGTTGTTTAATTAATAAACATAGTGACAAATTATTGCAAAAATTCTAAAGATGCAGCAAGCTTCACCCCCCACTATACTTATTTATATTATTATTAATTAACAAAAATAGTGTTCTGTATACATAATCATATACCGTTTGTTTAATAAATCTCATCAGTTAAATGGCATTTGACATATAATACAGAAATATGTAAATCTCAGATAATTCAAAACTTGATAATTTTAAATTGCGATTTTTTCATCCCTTGAGTTTCAAACTAACAAGGATTTTCTGTACTTCACACTCCAAACTGGAAAAACAAAAAAATTAACTTTGCTTCCTGTTAGTAGTTCGTCTTTCTTGAAGATACGAGTAGTCATGTAACATTGTGAAAGGGAAAATAATAACAATAACTTGGAGACAAGCCAAAAAGTTAGCAGAAAATTATTTTATTTAGATATGAAATAATGTTCACATAGATTTTAAAACTAGAGTTGTTGCCTGCAGAGAACATGTAAAACATACAGAACATTCCAATTTTCAACTCTGACTTGGTAAAAGTTGTTCGTTTTTTTTTCAACGTTGAAGTGGCGCTGTTGTCAATGCTGACTCAACACACACAGCACTCAACAGATATATTGAGTGTTGAGTGCAGATATGTTGACTGCTACTTTCCAATGAATTGTGGGTAATTGATGTGACATTTGAATGGAATCCATCTTGCTGAGAATGGAATTATGGGAACTAAGCGCTTTGTACTCAAAGTTGGAACATTATTGATGACGTTAATTATTGGTTTCAACACAACACTCATGTTGAAAATTGGAATGTCCCAATAGATAGCCATAAGAATGTCTAAATGAATCATTATAGTAATAGGTTTAAATTAGTGATGTAATGAATATTCGGTTACTATTCGGCCGAATACCGAATATTTAATCACTATTCGGCCGAATACCTAAAAACAGGAGTAATAAATAACAAAAATACAGTAAATTAATTATTTTGTTACTTAGATTTAATGTTATCGAGTTAGTGTTGTTTGTTTATATTTATTTATAACTTGAAACATGCACAAAATAAAAAAGAAAATAATATTAGTCACTAGTATTCACAATTTATAATTACAAAGATCAGCACACGTACACACCTATTCGTTCGAGAATCGTCGCACATCTGAGGGTCTGACCCTGCCTATCCTTCTTTTTAAGCGCTCGTCTTTGCTCTTCCCTTTCTCTTACCTCTATCGCTCTAATCCATGTATGCCTGTGCATACATCATAATACGCGCTCACAATACTTTCGATTCGTCACTTTTCCATTGTAGAGTTCCCATTTTACAATTACGTGGCTCAGCCTGATGATAACAGAGAAAAGAGACAGATAGGACGTAGATATAAGTCACAGTTATGATTTCACAGATTCGAGACAGCTCGATAGCCCGAACGGCCCAGGCTTTTGCCTGTGCACGCTAAGTGACTTTTATTACAAGCATTTAGCTTTACAAAGTCTATGACAACAATTGTTTGGCATTGACGGCCGCGAATTTCGCGCCAATAAGCTGCCTCGACTTGTTCGATTATGTTATCAACTCAATTTCATATTTATTTTCACATTTTCACTTCTTGGTCCTTCTGTGTTCTTTTTTCTGTTATTTACAAGTGTAGGTCATTTGATATCATCATTTATCACATACTTCCATGACACTCTTGTCTGTTGGCTACAACTGCCAAGAATTAATGCGATTGGCGAAGCGTAGTGACAGCGGGCCAATAGAGAGCAGGATCCTTGCCATAATGCGGTTTGCGCGCCAATTTTCGTACGTGCGTTAATCAAGCCGAATAGTTTGGCCGAATATACTATTCGTTACAACACTAGTTTAAATAGATGATCATAAAGTGGTAAAAATGAATAAAGGATTGCTAGCACTGCTAGGTTAAACTATGGATTGTTTTTGATGTATTAATTAGAGCATTGCTTTGATGTATATACAGTTTATATTAATATTTACTAATTATTTTGAAATTTTGAATTACCTTAACCAATGGATTGTGACTTTATTAATACATCTATTGCATATAATAACCATTTATTGTTTATTATTATTATGTTGAAAATGTCATGCCAAGTGCTGTGCCAGACTAAAGTCAAAGCATAGTTACCCAAACAAGTGTAACATAAGTTGTGTTTATTGCTGTGTGTGTCAACATCTAGAAACTGCCTGACAATGTGACACGTGTTCAATATGGCAGCTTTGTGGTGCCATGTGTTCGTTTATTAAGGTTTAATGTTTCTAGACTTTTGTGTAGTGTATGTGGTATAACACCAGTAGAAGATAGGACAATGGATTCAATAAATATCTTATCCATTCTCCACAGCTGCCTTATTTCTTGAGTGAGTGGAGTGTACTTGTTAATTTTTTTTTCAGTGTGAGCAATTTTTGTGTTTATTTTTTTATGTTTAATTTAAATTAAAAATTAAACATATTTTTAATTTTTCCTGCATACATAGCATTTTTCTAACCATTGTTTTCTTTTGGTTTGTTCCAAGAAGTCAAATCTACCCCTCTTATGGATCTTGTGATAGTTTGTCAGAGGGTTTGGTTTTGGAAAAGGATCAAATTTTGCAATACATACATATATATAGCTTAGTGTTAACTGCATATATCTATTTTCCATTTTTAGAAAAAGTTTTATGGTTCTGTTTGTGTTAACTAACCATTGTTTAATGAAAATTTGATTTTAGATATTATTTTTTTACTCACCATAACTAAATGTAAATTAAAAATATTTATATTGTAATTTTTTCTTGATATTTTAAGTTTTTTTTGTGTGTGAAGTTTTTATTAATTCTTTAGTGGCAACAAATGATTGAAAACTTAAAATAATTTTAAATTTATGTTAATATTTATTTATTTTTCCTGGAATTGGTATAAAAGAATGAATTATATATATATTCATTATTATTTTTTATATGTAGGTTTATCACCACCTAAATGCCATGGAACTTGGGCACAAGCAGCTGGAAAAGGATTAAATCAGCAGGTGCAAAGCAGTCATAATGACAGTTGTGATAATAGTAATAATGAGTCACAGAATGAACAAGGTTCACATATAGTAATAAATAATGGATCAAATAAAGTTAGAACAGAAGAAATAAATGAAATTAAAATTGCTGCTGCATTCAGTGATGGTTGGGGTCAAATGGTAATTTATTAATTTTTATTTAAGTTTTTAGTTTTTAAGATGATAGAATTATTTTTGATTTAATTGTTGATATATTATTTGGTAAATAGAACATATAGAAAATTGACTTCACAAATTTTGAAAATGATAGGTTGCTATGATTAAATGTGTGTAATAATTTAATTAAAATTCCTTTTTCCTTTTTTGAAAATGTGTTCAGATGGAAAAAGTATTACAGATGGATATTGAGCTTTTTTTAATGTTCAGCATATTTTGAGAATATAGGAATGTGCTAAAGTTTTCTGAATTTAACTGATATAGTTTAACAACTGATTAGTCAAACTTCTAAAGAATTTTTCTAGTCTGTAGGTACTGTGATATACAGTTGTTTATAAGATGCTTGAAGATGATGATGAGTTTGTTGTCATGCAGTTATATCACTGGTCTATAGTCATATATTTTTGTTTATAGCCTTGTACAAATGATGAAAAATTAGTAAATGCTATTGTTATTAATTATAGATTTAGCATTGGAGTTGATAGTAATGTTTTGTTTCCAAGTGATATCATGAACTCTACTAAAGTTAGTTTTAATATAATTAGAACTTACATAATAGAGTATTAATTATAGGTAACATGATTAATTTCTGTTTTGACTTGTTTTGAGGCTTTGTTGTGCTGATGTTGAAATGCTTGAAACCATTTTTAGCAGGAAACAGTTTGTGGCATGTCTTACTATAAAGAATGTTTCCATCTGATTTAAATGTGTAGGATACAAACTCCTGTGTACACAATAAATTCAGTAATTCAAACTTAATTTTGCTGTTTACCCATAATATTGGCTGAACCAAACTTGATAACAGAATATTTTCTATGCGTGCTCCATAGGCAAAAGTTGACTACTTTACTCAAAAGAAATTCTCTTATATTTAATTAAACATTATATTCATATAATTATTTCAAAGATTTAAATTTAAAGTATTATATAATATTTNAAAACGATAAAACAAACTTTTAAATTAAAAAAAAGTTCGTTTTATCTTTTTTACTTTGTTAAAATTTAATAAAACATAATAATATTGATTATTAGTAGTCTATAGATCTGTTTAGTGTAGTATGACTATACTATTGTATTATATATATTGTAGGTACTATAAAGTAGCGTAACTAGAACTAATATTAGCGGGTCCGAATCAGTACGTGCAAATCCATATTCATCCCTGTACATGTAGATGTAGTCATTAGTGCTGCTAATAACTCTTAGATATTGTATATACATGTACAGTACTTACTGTACATAAGTGCGTTTTTCTTATTTAAATATTTTCCTGTATTTTTTTTCAAATTCGTTTATTTACAAAGATTATGAGGTTCCGGGTTCCTTAGGGCCCTTTCTGAATACGCTACGAATACTACTATACATAATATTTACAATAATGTTATTGAATTAATTCAAAGGATGTTGAGAATTGAAAAGTGAGAGATCAGCTTGTATAGCCTGGTACAAAGCCATGAACCCCCATGCTAGCTAGCATTATGGGCTAGTGTTGTGTCTGTGATGGAGTGGCATGTGTTCTGCTGGAGCATAGTTGGACCATTTAAAGTGGAATCTGTCTTCGTGGGTTATCATTGTACATTGCTGTTGACTATCTCTACTCTTTTTATGCTCCATGTATTTCCTGGAAGAGAACAGTTGTTTCAATAAGACAATGCCATTCTGCTTTATTATTGGTAAGAGTCAGATGATTGAAGAAGCATTTTAATATTTTCCCCTCATATAGGATTTGAGCCCAATTGAGCAACTACCTTTAGGACACTGCAGATCACTCTTATTGATTTGGTCAGTAAGAATGGTCTCCAAGGGACATAATAGAATTATATAAAATATACAAGAACTCGTTTGATTATTAATGCCAAACAAACTTAGATTATTAATCAGGCTAGATAGAACAAGGCTAATTTAATCATTAGACATAACAGTTTATCATTAGTACCTAACCACCTATCTTTAGCCAAAATATTAAAAATTAATAAAGAGCAATTTACTATTTTTATTTGTTTTTTATTTACTGTAATAATCTGCTAATAAAGCATTGCAATAATTTAAACTGTAATTTTCTGATTTGTGATTTCAAGTTTATTTTGAACTTATGATAAATAAATTTTTAGATTTTAATTTAAATGTTCAAGTTATTAATTTTAAATAGTATGATTAATATATATTATATATATAAATTAAGCACTTCAATGTTTAAATATATAATTTTGTTAATCTATATAAGCTATCTTTCTGTATAAAATATGAAATATGTTAATATTATTTTAGGGTATTAATCAGGATACTACTTGGGATGTTCCCCAATCACCACAAACAAGTCCTAAAGATACTAGTAATTCAATGTGGCGTGCTCCGGCAAATACAGGAACTGAAATATGGGAAAGCAATATTCGCCATCGTAGTAAAACCCCTGCATCAAATACTTCTAACACTCATCCATGGGGTCACACACCTTCAACGCACATTGGTGGTACATGGGGTGAAGATGAAGATAATAGTAATATGTGGACTGGTGTTCCACAAAGTACTAACTGGAATGAAGAAACTGTGAGACATAACATTTGGCCAGGTAGCACACATCATACTGAAAATAACAACAACAACAATCAAAATAATAAAAATTGGGGAAATCAAAATACATCCTCATGGGGTATGTAGTTTTTTATATATATATATATCTTAGTATATAATTACATTTGCATTTATATTTATTTCACAAATCCTATAAATGTGTTTATATATTTATGGGATTTGTAATTTTAAAAGATATATATTTTTTAAAGTTAAATTGCTAATATGATTTTTAGATATATTAACTTACAAAATAATGCTATTTACAAAATGTCAATAAGATACAAAATCCTTTAGTAAGAAGCATATTTGAAGCATGCAATGCCATAATCTTGTAAATGCTAAAACAGAAACTTTTCAGGAGAGGTAAAAAACATTTATTCTAATGAATGAATTCATTTCAGTTTTACAATAAAATGGTGAAAAACTCACTGGAAATCAAATTCTCTGGAATATCAAAATGATGTAAATATAAGCCATAACGTTTAAGTGCCAAAAGTTGCATGACTTGAACTCTGGCACTTTAAACATTATACCTTCACATAAATTTATCTTCAAAATACAGCCACTTACACTGCCAATATCACTACAATATTCTTTTCTGGCAGAAAACATTGCATTTAGAATCAATTCTTCAATAAAATGTATTTAGAAAAAAATGGCATTTACAATGTTATGGCGTTGCATGCTTAATTTGATATTTGTAAACTTTACTAAAATTCGAAAAAATTTATCAATATTCTCAATAGTATATTTTATAGTAGTAGTATTATACAATATATAAAGTAGGGCTTATTGTGCACAACCAATACATTCCAAGACCCTTTACATAAGCAGAAATTTGTGTTACATAGCAAACCTCTTTACTTAGGTATTAGGTATTTTCTATACTAACATGTGTGACACAAATTTTTATGTAAATAAGGCAAATAAATACTATATTAACAATGAATATAAAAAATAAGTGAGATACTGTAAATCATAAGAACTTCAAAAATTATGTAAGTAACTTTTTTTCTTTTTCTCTCCTTCAAAATTAACACTTTCCACTTGTTTATCAGATCTACCAGATTTATTATCCTTGGAGCCACTTAACTGAAATAGTTAGCATATATCTGAAACCATCTTTTCAGTGTTCTGTTGTATTTAAAATTAAAAATGCATTATGAATAATAACTACCCAATCATAACATAAAATGTTTTTAACATTCCACACTTGCACACATTATTAGAATTATTTGTGTTTAGAAACATAACATGAATTCATAGCATCAACTACTATAAATTATCAGTTTTGATGAGCTTTATGTTAATAGTAGTATTTCTAAATAAAATTCAGAATGTAAAAGTTCAAAAACATTTACTAATTTAAGATTTCCTCTTTTGGTTATTTATATAAAGGGCCATTGAAAAACAATGCTAAGAACTTATTACTCAAACACCATTAAATTCATTGAAATGATTAGTGTTGAAATGTTCAAAAGTTTGTGGAGTGTTATCTTACTTTAGTAGATTTTTGATGTGTGCTCCATTTATTGCCAAGCAGACAGAAAAGTACTATTCAATCACATGAAAAGTTTACTCAATAATTTATAGAATTACCATTGCAATGGCTGCTGCAATTTTGTTAGGTACTAATATCCCGAATATTTTCACCATATCCAATGTACTTGTTGTATCCTCATAAAAAAAAAGTCCATTGTGGTAAGTTCTGGATTTATGAAAGACTAGGGATTGATCCTTTGGCTTCCCATAAATCCATTAACATATCTCAATGGATTTTGTTTACTAGTTATTTTTATAAATAATTTTATTCATTTCGATTTGTCATATTGTACAATATTTTTAAATGGTATGCAATGTTCAACTAGTATACAGTATAACTGTAAGCATCTCATGTAACTACAAGAAAAGTAATGAATGAATCACAATAGAAAAGTAAATACACTTGGTAAATCCCTCTCTCAGTTCCATTGCTACTGTTCAAACATGTGCAGTTCCCCCCTACAAGATGGTAGATGCTTTTGTCATTTTTGTCCCCAATTTAAAATTATTATTATTTCTTTAATGCTTCTCAGAATGCAAAAATAGCAATTGACAGTGGGAACACTGACATACTCAAGATATACACATACTGAGAATGAAGATATTTTTATTCAATGTATTTTTTTTATTACTTGTGCATATCTTGCTTCAATCATTCAACCAGTCAAACATTTTCAAAGATTCCTTGCAAGTAAGGATTCTCAAAATGCTCATAACATTATTTTTGATGTCCTTGAAAACATTGGAAATAATTATTAAAATTTGTTTCATGCATATATTCAATTGATATATAATTTGCTTTTAGCTATATTATCTGCTAACATAACAGGAGAAACTTCTCTAAATTATAATAAACACTGATTTACATAGTAAACATAATTTTTAATACTTTTAAGTGTTATTCATTCTTATATTTAAAAAAACCAAATTTTTTAATATAATATATATATATTTAAAAATAAATTTTTTTTAATTGGAGTTTACAAGTAAACATTTTAAAAATATTAAAACTAATGTATTAAATACTGAAAATAAACATTTTGTGTAAATTTGATGCTAAAAATTAATGTATTTTATTAATATTCAAAATTCTTAGGAGAATTAAGATTTATAAAATTCGTATAGTAAATATAAATAAAATAAGCATATAGTAATGATAGAAATAAAATCTATCAAAAATGTTTAGTAATCTAGTGGAAAAAGACATTAAAATATATTTATTTATAGAGGGAAATGGACCTGATAATGGCACTTCAGTATGGGCTTCTACAGCAACTAAAACTCCTAATATTGGAACATGGTCTCCAGTTACGACTCCAAAAAAAGATATTCAACCATCTGGATGGGAAGAACCATCACCTCCCACATCACGCCGTCCATTACCAAATTATGATGATGGCACTTCTCTCTGGGGGAATCCTAAATCTCAAGGAAGAGTATCTCATTGGAAGGATATGCCAGCAGCCAAACCAATTATGAACAATAATGTAAATCAAGGTCCTATGCCTTCAGGAAGTATGTTGCCTTCTGGAGCTGGTAATGGTCCTGTAATGGCACCAGCTGGACCTGGAATGATAAGAATTCCTCCTGCTTCAACAGTAAATAAAGCAGATGTTGGTATTGCAGTTTGGGGTAAACCCCCATTAAATCGAGGGGCTAGTTGGTCTGATATGCCTCCACATAGAGATTCTCCAGGTATAAACAATTGGGAAGATTCTCATACTCCACCATTAATGAAAAACATTCCAGGAACACCTACTACTCCTGGTGGAGCATTTAGTGGTGGTTGGAATGATCAACATGCCTTCTGGGGTGCTAAACCTAAAGGATCCACTCCAAATTGGGGTGATGGTCAAATAGATACAAGTACTTGGTCAGCAAAACAGGTGATTTTTTTTTTTCTTTATTGATTTTGATCATGTTAGCATATTAGACTTTGTTGTTCTAAAATAATTTTAATAATAAGGTTGACATTAAAAAAGATTTTGAAGTTAATGTTTCCTCTTTATTGCTGAAACAGTTAAATTCTTATTTAGTTTCCATTTGTTATAATCCAGTTTTAATTGTATATTGTTTTTAACAGTAAAAGAAACTACCAAATAATTTTGTCTTTAGTTGTATCAATGTATTAGAAAATGCTTCTAAATAAAAGCAAGTTGATAAACTTAAGTATTATATATAAATATAAATCATAAATCATACAAATTATGCAGAATTAATATTAATAAATTTTGAGCTATTTTATAGATATTACAGAAGACAATTACATATATACATACATATATATAATTATATGTATGTAACAAAATGCAAAATAGTTACTATATCAAATTAATAAATATGATTAGCTATAAATAAGAAATGCTAAGTTGAGATACCATTTATTTAATTTTAAATTATTTTATTTATTTAGAACAAAATAATAATCTTTATTTAATCATCATTTTTTATTTTAGCTTGGAATAAGTTTTCTTATCCATTTTTGTTTTACTTTTCAATCAGTCACTAAGTTTGAGAAGAATTTAAGATACTCATGTATATAGATATTTTATTTAAAAAAATATATATTTACATATATATTTGATCCTTTGCCATTATTAGGCTGCAGTTTTCAAATTGCATATCTATACATTCCCATTATCATCAGTCTGTTCTTCCTTAATCTTGAGAATGGCATTAGATAAATGATAATTGAGACCAGATATGGAAAGCTTAGTGACCAGAAGCCCCAATTAACTATATACAAACTTCTGGTCTGGGACAGAAGTGATGTGATTTTGTAAATTAAAATATGGTTAAAAGTTGCGGCCTGACATTGTCACAATGCCAGGCTGCAACTTTTAACCATATTAAAGTAATTGCTAGGTATGATCAGAATTTGCAAGTTATTTAAATGGTCATTGTATTTCAGTTATTCAAAGTGATTTTATTTTAATTTGCTAGAATTAACTTCCAGTTAATATATCAGAAGATATTTTTGTTAATTATATTTAATTTAGTTAGTTTAGAATTATCAGTATTTAAATTTATATCTGATTGTTATTTTAAATATAAACATGCTATATTTACATNGTTTTTTGTTATACAAAATGCTTTTTTAATTTAAACGTTATCAAAGTCATTTTACATATAAAATGGCTGTACAAGTAAGAAGTATACACCACACCTGGAAAATAAATAAATAAAAATATATTTATGTTTAGCCTCGAAAATCATGTTTGTTTTGCCTTTCAGTTACTCCTAAATTTATAATGTATTATAAATGATAACTTAAAAAAACAAATTTATATAAATAGTTTTTACTCCCTTCTAAATTTTGGAGTAATTCTTAAAAACATAATCTGAAATTTTTTAAAAATTATTTAAAAGAATTCTTGTATGTTAACCTTCTTATTAAATACTTATTATTACTATCTGTTAAGAAATTATAAGATCATATTTTATTAGTTTTCTCAAAACTAACAATGTTTAATCATCAATTGTTATTCTCAACCAAGTAAATAGAATAAATAATCACATTCGAATTAGTTAAACAATCTTAACCTATTGTATTCACTAGTTTTACAAAAGTCAAAATTTCATTGTTATTAATTGAAACCATCATGAAAATTAACATTGATAAACATTGAGAAGTAACTTATTTGCTGATTAATATAGTTAATACATTTTTGTATCACTTCAAATAGCCTGTTTGGTGTTGATTCAATCATTTTTTTTCAGTAAATCATTATCAATATTATCCCATTGGTACATAATTTCATATTCAAGTTCTTGAACACTTGAAAATTGGAAATTGTTTGCATATAGCTTCTAACTTAGTCTCCCAAAGGATTTCAATGGAATTTAAGTCAGGATTTCTTGATGGCCAAGGTAAATCATTCTCTTTGCATTAAGCCAGTATTGAGTTGACTTTGAGTTATGGCAGGGGATATTGTCTTGTTGGTAGTAACATTTTCTTTCTCTAAAATGTGTTCTAAATGGGAGCAAATGTTTTTCCAATAACAACTGATATTTTTTAGATTTTAATTTAATGATAACTTTAAGAACAAGTTTAGCATCATAACAGAATGCTTTCCAAACCATGACAGTGCCTCCACCCATTTGTCTATAAAAATTTCCATGGGTGCTTTGTACAAATCACACCAATATGCATTATTCACAGCTGGGTCATCAAGATTGAACTTTTTTTCATCTGAAAACACATGTTCCACTCTTTGTTTCGGAATATATAGTTTTTGGACCATTCTAATCTTGCTTGTTACTTACTTTTAGTTTTATGTAACTTGCATTCTTGTTTATCCATAATGTTGTTCCAAACACATGTGAAACTTTTGCCCCAATTTCGTGTAAAATCTCTCTTGTGGACATGTTATCGAGTTGCCTGACCAAAAAACATTGTAATTTCATGCAGTGTTTTTTGTTGTTTTTTTAACCAAATCTCTTGTTTTGTTCATAATAATCTTTTTCCCCAAAGCATACTGAATTACTGTTCTGGACTTAGTAATGAGACCAGCTATGGCTCTTTCTGAGTAATCAGCACCAGCATAATAATTTTTCAGATTTTTTTCTTCTCCTATTTCATTTCCTCCTGGCATGATGTTTAATCACTATCATTCAAAAATAAACTTAAGAAAGCTGTTAAAATACCATTAGAATTAGTCATGTAACATCAAAGAAAACAGGCAATCATGTGGGTGATAGAAATTTTTTTTAAAGGAAGGGATTAGACCATTTTCTCATGGTGGTCTCATAATTAACAGTGAAAATTTAACTTTGTGAATCTAATAACTAAAATGTGTTAAGATTGATGAACTAATTGTTCAAAATGTGATTATTGAATTTACTTTGTTGAGAATAATAATTGAACATTAAGCATTGTCAGTTTTGAGAAAAGTAAAAAAAAAAAAATGTAGTAATCTTATATTTCTTAAGACTATGCATTTCCATTCAGTTTCTAGATAAAAGGTTTAAGTTTATGCTTAATTCTTGGAGAATTTTGGACAAAGTGAAAATCTGAATGAATATTGCATAATATAATTTCCAGGAATTTTGTTTATTTTTCAAATTGAACTGACATTTAAATATGTTGAACTTTATTGTTAGCAAAATGTTTACCACTAATAGGAATGGTAAATTTTTGAAGTTATAGTGAGATTCATGCATGAGTTACAAATGTATGACACTTAAATTTCAAAAGAACCTATAATAATTATATATTTTTTTAAAATAAATAATGCACAAAGTAAGATAAACAATTTACTGTTATATATGTTACATTATGAAACTAATAATATTCATTTTGGTTTAAGTGATTATATCTTTTACTGTTCTCATATTTCAAAACAGCAGTGAAAACTGAATTTACTGAATTGAATGTTTAATGATAAACAAATTTTCTGAATTTATTTTTGATTTTGCAGTTAAATGTGTGTGAACTAACTCTAAAATTAATGTTATAACATAGGAAAAATTGTTTTTTGTTATACAAAATGCTTTTTTAATTTAAACGTTATCAAAGTCATTTTACATATAAAATGGCTGTACAAGTAAGAAGTATACACCACACCTGGAAAATAAATAAATAAAAATATATTTATATATTTAGAATTAAAAAATATAATCTTAAGAGAGATTTAGAATACTGAATATTAAAGTTAATAGATGCTTGATTTTTTAAAACTNAAATTTCAAAAGAACCTATAATAATTATATATTTTTTTAAAATAAATAATGCACAAAGTAAGATAAACAATTTACTGTTATATATGTTACATTATCAAACTAATAATATTCATTTTGGTTTAAGTGATTATATCTTTTACTGTTCTCATATTTCAAAACAGCAGTGAAAACTGAATTTACTGAATTGAATGTTTAATGATAAACAAATTTTGAATTTATTTTTGATTTTGCAGTTAAATGTGTGTGAACTAACTCTAAAATTAATGTTATAACATAGGAAAAATTGTTTTTTGTTATACAAAATGCTTTTTTAATTTAAACGTTATCAAAGTCATTTTACATATAAAATGGCTGTACAAGTAAGAAGTATACACCACACCTGGAAAATAAATAAATAAAAATATATTTATATATTTAGAATTAAAAAATATAATCTTAAGAGAGATTTAGAATACTGAATATTAAAGTTAATAGATGCTTGATTTTTTAAAACTATATTTATTAGATACTTTATAAAATAAAGTTTTAATTATAGTTTTGGAATATGTTTTTTTTTCTTTTTAATTATTACTGATTAAATAAATGACTGATTTTGTAATGATGAAATTCTTATAATAAACTGTTGTTTTTTTGTTTTTTTTTTTTAAGTTTGAGTTTAAACAGTTTAAAATAGAATTCTGTTAAAAGTCTAGTTTTGTTAAGATTATAAGACACAACAAATCTATATACATACTATTAAACTTTTCATTTAGAGAATTGCTGGACAATGCTTTGTGGTTTGAAGGCCAGCCATATGCAACTTAAACAACTTTTTATATTGCCTGTTATTTACATACAATGAATATGCTGTTATAATGCCCTAAGAAGAATTATAAAATTGTTTTTTGCAATATATTAAATTATTAAGCATTCTGAATCTGCAGTCATCATTATGAACATATAGAAAAGAATTAAGCTTAAAAGCAGTATTAAAAATTTCAACAATAAAATAATCATACAATTTGTTGTTTATTTATAATGTAAATAGTGAGTAGAAAGATGGTATATATGATTATTTAAATATTTTGGAATAATTAATATCTATAATTTATTAAGTTATTATATTGTTTTTCAGAAATGCATTATTTTAGCTATAAAATTTCTTTTCATTATTGTAGAAACTGTATAACTGTATTCATGATTGTTACTTTATTCCAAATTGTTTTTTTCTCTCTTGTTTCCCAGTATTTTGAAGTTTAATCTTATAGAAATTTTTTTATAATTTAAAGTTAAATAGTTTTGATTTTACAATGATATTGATTTTAATTTTTTTTTAAATGTTTTTGATTTTAATAAATGAATGAATATATACACATACATTCACACTAAATTTACATTTTTAATATAAAAATAATTACTTTTCATGCATATACAGTAAAACCCCAATTATTTGGATTGCCCATTCAATTTTTAGATAATCAATGTTAAAATTAAGAAGGCATATATGTATCTGTAGTGTATATGCATGAAAGTAATTATTTTTCTAAATGTAGAAAATAAACTATGTTAATTTGTAGGTTACCACATTTAATATTTTATTTTTACATAATTGTGTACATATTACATAACAGGGCATTAAGATAGGGAAAAAATGACTTATTTTAAGCAAAAATCCAAATATCTGGATACTCCACATGCCAAGACAGCCTGATGTCCACAGTTATTTCGGATAATTGGGAGTTTTGCTGTACAGGATATTTTCCTCAAATCTCTGTAATTTTAAAGTGTTCTGTAAAATCCATTAATTCAGGTATGTGAATAAAATTTGCCAGAGAATGTCGATTAGTACTCCAAGTTTCATGTTAATACTGCTTGAAATGGCTGCAGCTGCTACATGGTATCAATCTGGACTTCTGTTACCATACAGTCTAGATTACTGGATTGATCCAGACACATTTCTTGGCTTTCTGATCATCCTGCATTACTCATTTTGAACTTCTTTCTTTGTGGACTACAGAATACCATACATTAGAACCCTGCATGCAAGAATGACATATGCCATTAACATTGTGACTCCTGATAAGCTAACCTGACATCAGTCAAAATCAAGTAGAGTGGATATTGTAAGTGCCAAATTGAGAGTACATGTGGAATTGTATTGATTTAATGTAGTAAGTAATTTTTTCAGATGCATTTTCTATTACAATTGTCTACAGTACTGTGCTCAAGTTTCTTTTCTCAAAGTTAATTCACAAAACTGGAGAAGTTTAAGAATAATACACTATAGTTTATAATTACTCTATTTTCATCAATGGAAGTTAATGGCTAAGGTCTGATTTTCATTGTATAGAATAAGAGAAATATTGATGGAAAATAAAGGTTTATTGTTACTTTAACAATAATAACTTAATTTTTCAAGCCAAATGGTATGGAATGCCATTCCACTAAACCTATATAAATAATCCATAAACCCAAATTTTAAAGTAGTGCCAAATGATATGTCATATTATCGAGCTACAGATGGCAGCCTAATTGCCTACCTCTAGTCAAATTACTTCATACCTAATTATTAAATTTATTATAATCAGGTAATACAGCAGATCATTTGATATTCCATTATATTTTTTGTTTCCATTGGCTGAAAGTTTGTATTAGATATCCTTCTATTCTAGTGTGTAATTTGTTTATTTAATGAACAGATCAGATGGTTAAAGTAGACATTACTATTTACAGAAAATGGTGTGTTTACACAAAAATGTATTATATAGTGTAAAATGGAAAGATTCTAGGTGTGTAGGGTCCCCATAATTTAGTCACCTGATAATGAAACTCAATAGAGGAATAATGTAACAGATGTCTAAAAACAGTTACATATGTATTGTTTGTTAACTTAAAAAAATTTTTTTTACAAGACTGTTACTGTGATAGTGTAATAATCAATTTCATAATACAGTGGAACCTCAGTATACGACCTTAATCCGTTCCCGATGTTTGGACTTACACCGAATTGGACGTATACCAAACCAATCTTTCCCATAAGAAGTAATGTAAAAATGATTACTCCGTTCTCGTGTAAAAAAAAAAAAATGGCTGGCTTTAAACACCTTGCTTTCCTGGCTAGTTCTTGCTTGATTTTTCGTGAAATCAGCGTGTATCTTTTTAGCTTTCTCGCAAATAATTGCTTCCGATACGCTGTCTCCAGCACTGTTTTTCAGTTATCCAAAGCAAAAGCAATTTTTCGATATGTTCTAATGTCTTCAATCTGTGTTTAGAAGTTGATTTAACCCCTTTCGCAGCATTAGCAGATTTAATAATGTCTTTATTTTTCGCGATTGTCCATATCGTCGTTCTCAGAATACGGTAGGCAACAGTTAAAATCAAGAACACGCGTGCCCCCTTCGTATTTCTCAACAATCTCTTTCATCAGTTCCATTGTAATTCTAGTCATTTTTTTAGTTTTCTGTCGCTTTTCATTGCCTTTTTGCGATTCGTGATTAATAAAAGTAATAATATTTTACTTACGAATTAAAATCAGAAGAAATTTAACAAAGTTATAAATCGTTGCATCGCGAACGTCTAGTCTGGTCTAGTACACCAATAGTGCTACTTGTTCATTGATGGCGCGTATAATTGAATTATGTCGTATACTGAAGAAAAGTCGTATACCTAGCAAAATTTGTTTCATCCAAACAGGACGTATTCCGAATTGGACGTATTCTAAAGCAGACGTATACCGAGGTATCACTGTACTTATTTACAGAAGTTCTAGCTTTCTGTGCATAGAATCATTGCTTTTATAATATCAAATCTGTATTAATTTCTCTGCAAGCATTTTTGTAGCATCATCTCCGTTACTTTTTCATAGCCTTGGACAATCCTGTTTTATAGTTTATTCATATTAGTTATCTTTATTGTGTACACTTAGTCTTCTTTATGGAGCCTCATAAAAAGAAATCAAGGGAATTGGTGGCCATGTAATTAATCCATCTCAACCAATTCAATGATTCAAGAAATTGCCAAGTATGGAAAAAACTGAGTTAACAAAAACTGTTTTTCAGTATCTGCTAATATTTTCTCTCTATTATTTATCAGGTGAGAAAAATTATGGACATCATGTACTTGTGACAATGTTTAGATGGGGGTGAAAAATTGAATTGATCACACAATTGTGTGGTGGCACTGGTAGTCTGCGAATGAGATAGTGATAAAAATGGTAAACAATTGAAAGAGTTCGGTGTTATTTTAGATATAGTGTGCAATATTCCTTCAAAAATCAGATTTTTTTTAATTTTATTATGAAAACATTGTAGAATTGCTCCACAAATGGTCCACAACATTTAAGAACTGTTCAAAACCATCTCTGGGTACAATTATGAACTTAATACATAAATTTGAAGAAACTGGTTTTGTCTTTGATACCTATAAGGAAAATGTTAGTCACTGCAAGGACAGGAGTTTGAGATCTATCACAAGGTCCCAGAGTCAATTGATGACCTTCAAAACAGCCATTGTTAATGCTTTTGATAGACTCCATATCAATATTTTGCCAGAGGTCATTGATAACTATTTCATGCATTTTTATCATGTCATTGCATCTGGAGGCAGTCAGTTTGAAAACCATATCAATTGATTGCCTTTTTATTTCAAGTACACACTTGAGAAGTTTTACCTTTGTATCTGTTGATGTTCTCTTTAAATTTTTTGTCCATCTAAACATTGTCATCTGGTATATTGATTGTGAGAAAAGAACGTTGTAAAATATAAAGATTTTAAAGTATTATTGTGAAAACTTTTTTGTTAATGAAAAAAGAGCAGTTTAGTTGTAGATAAAATTTTGCATTTCCTATCATTAATTAAACAAATCAAAACAAAAACTGATTTGGTGATTCTCTCAAAATTATCAATTGAGAATTATTCAAAATGTAGTTAAATGCATGATCCACTAAATAAAGTAAAAGCTGTCTTTTGGCATTAAATAACTTTGTGAATTTATTTTATTTCATAATTAGTTATTTAATGTATTTAGTGAATTAGTTTAGTTAAATTTAGTGAATTATTTTGACATTGAAGGGTATATTTTTATCTACTTGAAGTGCATGAATGTTTTAGGAATTATGGTTTTGAACAGTCAATTCTTAAAGTGTTATTTATTAGGAATTATGGTTTTGAACAGTCAATTCTTAAAGTGTTATTTATTGATTAAAAGATATAGTCAATTTATTCTTGATACATCTTCACTTTTCAGATTTTGCCAGTTTGTAATGTTTGTATTATACAATGAATATCAGAATTCAGCCTAACTTATAATTCTAAAAATAATTAGTATAATTAATGTGGAATAATATATTATTTTTAATATTACTTAACTTGTGTTAACTATATTTGGTAGTTTCTATTGCTGGGCATCAATATATAAAAGAATGAAACAATTCAAAATTTTACAACAAAATATATAATTTTCCTATGTCTGATTTTAATTTAGTTGAAATGACCAAAGTTTTAACAATTATTTTTTCCTTTGCTTGATTAAAATTATTAGCTTAATATTTGAATAATAATACATAGTTAGGGATTTTAGAATCAATGAAAGATGGTTTGTTTTTTTTAATAAATTTTGTTGAAAATTAAAAACAAGCCAGATTTCGTAAATGTTTAATATTACTGTATTATACAATTATTTTGAAAAAATCATTTCTTAAATTATTAGAAAATTTATATCCAAATCTATTAAATACAAACTTTAATTTTGTTTAAATGCATGTTTAAATAACTATTCTGAAATATTTTCCCCCTCTGGAATGAGTATTTAGCTTGTTTTATTTCTGTGTGTATATATATGTATATATATTTTTTTTATTTGTATTTTGCATGAATTTATATTAATTACTTTTGGCATGGGCAATAATTTGTATTGAAGAAGAAGAGGCGGGACACAGATCTAAAAAAAATTTTTAATTATTATAACAATAATTTAATAGTTTCATTAAAATTTAAATTTTTGAAGTGAAATCTAAATATTATTTATATCACTTTTCTGTTAGGGTGGCAAACCACTTAGTAAAGATCTTATCTGTGCAAGTAAGCAGTTCCGCCTCCTCACGGAAATGGGTTTCAAGGTAATAAAACACACATTAATCTTACATGCTATGATTGCATGGCTTTTCATAGTTTTCTGCTAAAATAATAATTCAGACAAATTAAACTGCATGTATAATACCTAATGTGTGTGAAAAAATACATTATTTTGCAAATTGATATTATTTGGATATTCTATTTTCTATTGTATTTTTAATAGTAATTTAGAAAAGAAAAGTTTTTTATTTTACTTTGGTAATATTCAATGAGATTTGTAAATCAAACAAAAGATTGAGGGGAAAACGTAATAATGAAGAATGAAATTATGCTGCATCTCATTGAAAAATTCCTGAAGTAAAAAGAAAATATAGGAAAGATTTCAAAATTTTGTGTTAAAAGAAAAAGATATATAAAATAATTATATATATAGTTTCTATATGCAAAAATTTTGAGTTTAATTTTTGGAAAAAATTTATAATTATTAATTTGCAAAAATGTTTTTCCAACATAATAAAACTCCATTCAGATGTTAGTTATCGAAAATATTCCTTCAATCTATAATTTTACTTTTAATTTCAAGTGAAAATTGTGTGATTTGTTTAGGATGTCGCTTTTCATTGAATATTTAAAGTGAAATTAAAAGTTTTAAAAATATTTTAAAATTAGAAATGACTAAATTCTACAAGTATATACAAGCACATCTACAATCATATTGCAAGTATAGATAGTATAAACTATTTTGTTTCAAATCAATTCAATAGTTTAAAGTTGCACTCTATTCAAGAAGTTTGCTGACTACTATAAAATAATTTTTATTAAAATGTGATAGGTATTAAACTTGTGGTGTATTTCAAATTACTAACTTTGTTTAGTGTTACATGAATATTATTACTTAAAATATAGTAATTGTCTTATTCATTTGATTTATGTCAAAAATAATTTAAATTTAAGAAATTTCTATATATATAAATAATTTTTTCATTAGAATGAAGTTAATTGACCTCCATTTTCCTAATTATATATATTTTTTCATAGCAATATGTGTGGTTTAATTACAGAAATGGCCTTTTTCATAATCTTTCAGATGTTTGATGCATTTATGAATCCGTCTTTAAATCACCAACATTTCAAATCTATATATTGTAAGATTCAAATAGCACAAATTGTTTAAGCTAATTTTATATTTACTTGATTTCTATTTTAATGAACCAGTCTTTAAAGTATAATGAAAGAAATAAAAAGTAATGAATAGAATGTTTAAAGTTGATTTCAAAAATTTAGCCATCTTTCAAAACATCATATTGCTGTAGTAAAATATATTTGCTGTGTTTGAAGTTTTATAATCAAATTTTTTACTTAAAGTTATATATTTGTACAAGGTGTGTCTGGAAAGTTTGCAAACTTTGCAAATAGAAGTTGTTTGCATTTATCTAGAAGCTAGTCAGTTTTGTTGCCTTTGAAGTAGTCCCCCTCCTGAGTCTATGTACCGAATTCAGCATTTCTGCCATGAAAAGAACACTTCTCAAAATGTTTTTTGGGGATCCTCTGCTAGTAAATATTTTTAATGGCATCAATGGGTTCAAAACAGCAACATTTGAGAGCAGATTTTATTTTGGGAAACAAAAAAAAGCCTGGTGGCCTTTAGTCTGGTGAATTTGGAGATTGGAGAACAAGTGGCATCAAATTCATGACCAAAAATCAGTAGTGTGGACAGGAGCATTGTCGCAATGCTGCTATCTTCAAGCAGTGTCTTTTCATCCTCCCTGCTTCATGAAGACATTTCATCACCTCCAAATGGTATTCCTTATTTGCTGTCTTCTCCTCTGGAAGAAATTCCTGTAGAATGACACCAAAAGAATCAAACAAAACAGTGAGCAATTTCACTGTGATGACTTGCGTTTTGTTTCCACGTCATACCCATAGACACGTCTCATCCCCAGTGATGATGATTTTCATGAAATTTTTATCAGATCTAGTCTGTCTCAGAAGTCTCTACTCAATTGAATTCACAGAAAGAAAATCACAAATGAATGTAACATAACAACAACAAATGATGATAAAACAAACTGCTTTCAGCTGATAATACCAAAAAAAACTTGCTGGTAGAGAGCTGTGAAAGCTGCATTCAGATTCAATTATTGTTGGTGTGTAATTTAAAAAGTATGGGAACTTTCTGGTCAGACCTCATATATATTTCATCATTCATGTTTAATATTTTGATTTAAAGTATAAGAGCATTTGTGGTACCAGCTGCTGTTGGATTTAGACCAATTTTCCCAAATGATATTACCAGATCTTCTCATTGGACTGTTTAAACTCCTTTTCATAAACATTACACCTGCTTAAAATTCTTTAAAAATATTTTGTATGAAATTGCAATATCAGCACTAGCATCAGTTATACTGATTACATTACATTTAATATCAGAAAACTAGTGCAGACACCTAACAACTGCAATTTTTCTGTTTTCTTTAACAATTATTGTCAATTTACAGTTACTAGGTAATTTTATATTTTACTCAAAAGAAGGAATATAGGAAAACTCAATTGAAGAATATTGCTTTCAATCAATAAAAAAATAAATAGTGAGTATTTTATTCTATACTCGTTTGAGTGCAGATTATTATTGACTAAATTAGGGTTGTAATGGCTCTTCCTTTAGTAATGTCCCTTAAATGTAGTAATAGTGGATGGGAAGATTTACTTCCCAGATCTAGAGATTAAGTAGTAATCAGATAGTATAGAAACTTCAATACCCAAAAAAGAAACTTTGTACAGTACCCATTTACTTAAGCAATAATACTTTGTTCGCATCGAGCATTTCAGTCTAGATTGTGACCAAGGGTCGCGACTGTGCTGTGGTGCGACCACTCTCGACCATTTTAATCTTGACTGAAACGAGGTTTAATTGTGATCGACTCGAGAGAGTTCTTGAAACTAGATCCAGTCATAAGAGAGATCCCACAATCCCACATGCATGAGAAAATACAAGATGGCTGCGGAACACGTGTCGGGCTACCAACAGAGAAATAAAAAAAGACATCTGGAGAGATGATGACATCTGTCTATTATTAGATATATAACAAGAAAAAGTATTTATTTCTAACCAAAACTTCCATTTTGTTTGTTGGTGTTCGTGATTTACCGCGTAGTTATGTCAGTTTTATCATCGCATGTAATAGCTGGGTTCTTCTCAAGCAGACTGCCTGTGCGAACAGCACGATGTTCGACTGGCGACAGTCACAATCTAGATTGTAGGTAAATCGAGATCGAAGTCAGTCATGGATTGTGTGCAAACATAGTATAACTCTCTAAAGACCCTATAGCTACAAACAGAATTTATATCATTCATTAAGATCCTTTGATTGATGCACAAAACAGAAATTCATAGACAAAAGTTAATCTACTAAAAGAATTAACCAGAAAGCATGGAATTGATGAATAATTCTTATTTAGTAATTAGTCAACAATCTATATGAACATTGCCTCTTGAATATCAAAAAATCAAATATATGAAAAGATAGTCAGTCTCTATTTCTCTAACACCTTCTCAGTAGTCTCTCAGAATAAAGCTGGAAGAAAGATTATATGAAGAAAATCTTTACATGGAACTTTTCAGTCTTTCAAATTCTTCAAAATGATGATAAGAGATATAACTATGAAGGGTGAATTCTACACTATACCTAGCTATAGAACAATAAGTGATTTGAGTATGTTGGGATAAGGATTTTTTTATACTCTAATGCACCGGCTTCCAGCTTATATTTTTTGTGGAACTCTATCACCTTAGTACAAAATGTTGGCGCACTGACAACTTTTAATGATTTTAGATAAAACAGCAAATAGAAACACAAAAAAATTAATTGGAAAAAAAACAAACAGATATAATGGACGCTGCGAACAATGGACTTTCTGTTTGGCTGTTACATGACTTGAGCAATGGATTGACTGCGAACAATGGACTTTTCGTTCAGCAGTTATGTGAGGCGAACGACGGTCTTTCTGCGAACAAGTCTGAATGATGTTTCCACTTTTTGCCATTGCCAACGACATCTTGCTATTTTTATAATAAATTAGTATTACTAGAATATATTATTAGTAGGCCTATATCTGAAGTACAGAGCTCCCGTTGGGTTCGGCTTGCTCCCTTGTTTATTACGTACATCACCTCATTGCAGGGATTTCTATTTATTCAAGCATTGTGCAAATCATGGCTTGTAAAAAAACAGAAAGGTGATTTCAATTGAAACAAAGCACATCATCATCAGAACGAGTGAAAGTTGACAAAAACTTCCTTGTCAAATGGGGAGAGATTAAGGAGTTTACCAACACTCATTATACAAACAGCTGAGGCCAACAGGATCAATGATGTCTACAATGACACCCTTGCCCGTCATTTCCAACAGGTGTTGAAGAGAGAGAAACAGACCACCTTGGACATGTTTTTCAAGAAGCAAGCTGCTAAAAAACAAAGGATGGAACAAGAAGAGATGACTCTGCAAGCTCCGGTAGCCTCTCCTGAATCTGACTCCGATTAAAAAACAATAAAAAGAGACCTGCTGCAATGTGTAAAAAGTCTGTATCTGTATGAATGTGTGAAGAAAGTGTTCCTCCACGTCCTCCTCACAACATCTGACTACTCAGCATAATTGGTGACTGCTCCATTTTCATTTTTTTTAATGGTACAGTACGGTTATTTTATGCTGTGGAACAAATTATATGTTTTAACATGTATTTCTATGGGAAAATGCGTTTCGTATAACGGACTTTTCACTTAACGGACGTGCACCTGGAACGGATTAAGTACGTTATATGAGGCACCACTGTATTTGCTTTCCATTATTAAATTGAAACTGATCATTAATGTGAAGGGCCAAACTTTTCTTTCAATATTTTAAACAGCACTAGTGTCTGGATTTGTATCTTTGTTGATATCTGTATTTTGGTTCCATTGTCACTATAAACATTTGAAGTACTCGCTACATTTTTCTTAAACTCTTCTATCAGTTGATGCTCCATAGCTTTTTAAGTTGGGGTATAC